AGTAGCGGCAGTCTGCACAAGCACCAGAACAACGCGAGTGTGCGTCGCGCGACGACAACTCCTCCTAACTGAAGATCGATTCTCGGCGCGCTCGCGAGAATCTGATACGGCATCATCGAGATGGGCGCGTCTTGGTGGTCCCCGCGGGCTCTCTCGCTCTCTTTCTCTGTTTTGCCTCAGCTATAAAGCTATATGCCCAAAACTGTAAAGCCGGCGGCGGCTCCACCAAAAACAATAATCTCGGACGGGACTTTTGACTTCCCTAATTAATTGCGGGCGCGCGGAGAAAAAGGAATCCACGAATCTCCCTCCCTCCGATCTCTTTGAGCCGCATCGTTCGTTCATTCATTATTATATATTTCGTCACGAAACACAACGGGACATACCCTTCCCCCCTCCCCGTCCCCGGCAGACTCCCCCGCCCGCCGCCGGGGGGCTCGGGGGCGGCCGTGTCAGGTGGCGCAGGGCGTTCAAAATACCGAGAAGCGGCCCGGCCACAGCCCAGGCGGCGCTTTTCCCCCGCCTCATCGAGCGGCCCCCGTGGGGAAGCGGGGGCGGCGGGGGCGGGCCTTATGACCCGACATATACGCGAGCTTGCTTATGAGATGACGATACGCGATGGGTGGCTGGGGTCGTTGGGGGCGGGGAGGGGAGGGGCGGCTCGCCGCGGTGGTCCAGCGTAGGCCCCGTGGGCCCCGCGGGGGGTCGTTAGTGGCTCTTCTCTGCCTGACCCGCTGCCCCGGCGCTGCCCCGGCCCTGGAGGCCCCCGGGCCCCCGCCGTCGGCACGTGGCCACAAAGTCGCTACACTCGGCTCCTGCTGGCAGCGCGTCGTTACCGTTAGTGCCGTACGGCGCAACGCTCACCGCCGCAGCCCCGCTCCCGCTGCGCGACCCCTCACCTCGCGCGCGCTCACTCGACGGCCTGCTCCGTGTCCGGCGGCCGCTGCAGGATGAAGGGCTCGCGCACCAGCGCCAGCAGCTTGTCCATCTTGAGGACCTCGAGGTCGTGGGGCGTGAGGTGCGCCTGCTTCTTGGTGGCCTTGGGCTTGACGCGCAGGTTGGGCGACAGCTTGAGCGAGGTCACCGTGCCCCGCTCGTCGCCCACCACGATCAGCGGGTGCTTCTTGTTGAAGGCGAGGCGCGTCAGGCGGTTCTTCTTGCGCGACACGATGTTCTGCACGCAGATGGGCTGGTAGCGGCTCACGTTCAGGTCGTAGACGTGCGCCTTGCCGTCCAGCGTCACGGCCGCGAACACCGTCGACGAGTACGGCGCCCACTGCACGTCGCCCACGGAGCAGTGGAGGTCGAACACGAACAGCGGCTCCCTGCACCAGAAGGACGCACCTCAAACATCGAATGCCACTCCCCACGCGGGTAGGTCAGGTCAAAGGTCATCTTTTCACATCTTGGGTCAGAATGCTCCCGAGCAGTGCGGGGGAAACGTCGGACACGACTCTCGGCTCGGCTTCCACATAGGAAAGTGTGCCATTTTCCCGTAAGTCGAGTCGCGTCACGGCGGAGCAAGGTCAGACTCGCGCTACGCTACTGGTAGCGCCCGCAACGCCTTGGGTAGGCCAGCCCGCTAAGCAGCTGTGTGGAGCCAGCGGCCCGCCCTGTCGGCGTCTCACGCGTCTCGAGCCAGCCAATAGGCGCGTTGAAAACAATTGGGAATGGGGGCGGCGTTTGGTTGAAGACTTACGTTCGCCCATCCTCCCAGATCTTGATTCGCCAATCCGAGGAGCAGGTGATGAAGATGTCGGGCAGAAAGTAGTTGAAGTGGATGCGGTGCACGGGCATGTGGTGCGCGCTGTACGACAGCAGGTACATGGACGTGTACTCCGTGCTGCACTTGAACACCTGCCCCTCCTCCGTGCCCACCAGGAACACCTTGGGGTTGGTGGGGTGGAACGCGATGGCGGTGCCACAGCCTGTACGACAGAAAAAGTCAGGTAATCAGTTGGTTTTCGCACGGAAACCCTAACTGTATAGCTAAACCAATTGCTGTTGAATGCATTTATCCCGCAAATTATTTGGCGATCTAAAAATTTAGCTATGTGTAGCTAGATAGCTAACACTAACTTTTTAGCTACCTAGCTAAATAATTATTAATTCCATATTTAGCTATTATTGGTTTAGCTATGCAGGTAATCTCACCGGTGATGGTGAGCGTGGTGCCGTCGGGCCCGGCCACCGGCGTGGCCCTGTCCAGCACGAGGGAGATGACGGTCGTCTGGTGCAGCGTGCTCGACGTCAGCACCCAGTTAAACACGTTGCCGTCGTTGGACACGGAGTACAGGTTGAGCTCGCCGTCCGGAGTGTCCTGGCCCCAGGTCACCTGTGCGAGAAAAGGTCGGTGACAGTGAGGGTGATTAGCTCTACTTTTATGACACACAAAAAGAAACTAGCAGTAGTGCTAATTTTTTGGCTTTACGGTTTAAAAGTAAAATTACTCTGCAGCTATTTTTGTTTCTTCCAACTTTTCCGCCCTTGCGTAGCATAACATCACGACATGCGTCCGGCCCACATACTTTACCTGCCACACCATGTCGCAGTGCTTGTTGTGCACCGAGTCGGAGCGGAAGACGGGGTCCTGCTGCGACAGCTGCAGGTCGTACACGGCCACGCTGCCGTCGTACAGCCCCACGGCCAGCAGGTTCACCTGCTCGTGGTGGAACTCGGCCGCCATCACGGAGGACGCCGTGTGCAGCACGTACTCCGGGTACGACGGGTTCTTCATGGTGAAGACGCACACGGCCCCCGACGCCGCCTGCTTCATGAACTCCACTGACAAAGAAAATGTTAGCTGAATTAGCTAAATACGGGATTACTAATTGTTTTAGCTATTTATAAAAACACGGCTAATGTTTAGCAACGCTGCTAATTTTTAGCAATACAGCTATTTTTTTAGCAATTGCTTAAGGTTTGACTGTGCAGCAGGAGGCACTCACGGTAGCCCATGGTGACGGCGAACATGTCGTGGTAGCGGGGGTTCCAGCAAATGTTGGTCACGTGGAACTTTTTGGTCGGCTCGTAGTAGAACTTCCACAGGGGCAGCAGCGTGCCCGCACCCTCGCGGAACTCATCCGAACCGTCTTCGTAGTAGCGGCAGTCTGCACAAGCACCAGAACAACGGGCTCAAGGGTGATCTGTGCGAGGCAACACGAGGGTCGCTTCACTATAATTTCAAGCGTACATCCATTTTTATGCTATTTCTTCATTTGCCACGATTTTTAAGCCCACTTTTAAAATTAATTTCCTTGAATATTTTTCTGTTTTTTAAGAGTGTACACCGTTTTTTTTTTCTTTAAGTTTTTTTCAAGTGAAGTATCCCTCGGGGTAACCGCAAGCGGGCAGAGGGCCGGCTGGAGAAACGGGTGCCGTGAGGGTGTGCTGGGGCCGGCTGGGGCGCATGAGGCACTCACACGAGTCGGCTCGGGGTGCGGGGCCGGGTGCGCAGGCGGGGCTCTAGCGCGGGGGAGGGCCGGAGGGGGGCCAGCCCATGGGCGAGCCAGCCTGCAAAGAGAGCACCAAGCGGACGCTGTCAGGGCGGGGAGGGCGGGCGGAGAGGTGTGCTCGCAGGCTGACTCGCCATGGCCTAGCCGCCTTCAGCCTGGCCATAGCCCCCCCGGCCCGGTCAGCGGTCAGCAAACTCCTTACCCTTGGCGATGTCGTCCGACGTGTTCTGGTTCAGCATGCGCTCGATCGTCTTGGCCGCGCGGATGGAACGGTTGAGCGAAGAGTCGGGGTTGGTGCGCTCGTCCAGCTTGCGCTCCGCCTGCCGTCCGAACTGCTTCGGCACCTGCTGCGGGGAGTTGTCGGGGCCACCAGGTCAGCGAACAACGAACAACTCGGCGCCATGGACGGGGTCGAGTCAAGACGCCGAACCTACCTTGACTTCCTTCTCCTTTCCGGCCTGCTTCTCCTCCCAGTCCTTCTGGTAAGCGTCGTATATGATGTACTGCATCACCTGGTCGGAGAACGTGTCCCTCGGCGGAGGTTCGGTCTGCGTGCTGAGCGTCTGGAGGAGACACAAATAGACAGTGCAGGTCACCGACCGTCCCCTCCTCCTCACGCGGCAGTAACAGTGGTAACAGCGTCGACTTACACGGTAGGGGTTGTTGTAGGTCAGCGCCGCCCGGTCGCAAAAGTTGAACTGGTTGGCCACTTTTTTCACGGGCCTACTGGGGAAGACCTCTGTAGCAGCATCCGCAGCGACGCCGTCCTCACCCTCCGCGTCCGCCGCGGACGCGCCCTCGTCGCCCTCCTCGGCCGCCTCCCCCGCGCCCTCGCCGCTCTCGGCACCGCCCTCGGCGTCCTTTTTGGACCCCCCCTCGCTTGCGTCTTCCTCCGGCTTCTCTGAACTGGTGTCAGCCCCTGGAAAAAAAGTAGTAATGTAGTCGATTCAAACAGGTTCAAAAACTCCATATGGTGAGGACAATAGAGTAGGCCCGAGTGGGGCAGAAAACATCTTTTAACATTTGGAATCAGCAGTGGTGTGTTTTCACTCAACCTTAGTGCACATTAACAGAATTGCAGTATTACTCACCCGCGGCTGGTGCGTCCCCGGCACCCTCGCTGACACTGCCGCGTTCCTTGCCCTCGCCCCCCTCGCCGTCGGCCTCCCCTTCGCCGTCGGCGTCCCCCTCGCCGTCGGCCTCTTCCTCCTCCTCGTCATCCTCACCGCCGCCGCTGCGCCGGCTCTCCTTCTTGAAGGTCTTGGGGGCGGCCTTGGCGGCCATGGTGAGGGTCTCGGCCAGGGTGATGCGGCCGGCAGCGCCCAGGTAGGCGGCCTGCTCGCGCGCCTCCGGGCTGTCGATGTGCAGGCACGTGGACGGCATGTCGAGGAGCAGGGCCCCGGACGCGGGCACGGCGCGCTGCACGAAGGCGGCATCCTTGTGGGACCAGATGACCAGCCCCTCGGACTGCTGCGGCGTGCGCACCGTCAGCACGCGCGCGATCTCCTCCTTCAGCTCCTTGAGGGTCCAAAAGCGCACATCCGTACCGATCAGTACCAAAGAGCCAAAACTCTAAAAGCCACCCGTAATCGAAATTACGTAAAAAACAGTTCTACCGTGGGTTGTAGTTTGGTAGACTTACATTCTCGTTGAGGTCGACCTGGTCGTCTGGTTTGACTAGCGCCCTGGCGCGCCCCCAGGTCTCCATATCTTCGCCGAGCTCGAGGCGCGACCCCTCGCCGGCGCCCTGCGTCCCGTGCAACTTGAGCGCGCTGGCTTTGGCCGGCTTGAGGGCGGACGTCTGCAGACAGCGGGAACGACGTCAACAACGCCGTGATGCTTACCTCACTCGCTCCCTCCAGTGAAAAACTACTGTCGAAACCGTGTCGTGCGCCGACGTCAAATTTTCTCGTTTTGACGCGTCGGTCCGACATCGTTTTGACGTCCGGTTTCGCGCTCTCACTCACCCCCGGCCGTAACGGCCCCTTGGTACGAGGCATGGTGCCTGCCGGACGCGGTCGAGCTGCGGGGTCACGTCGAGGGAGTCATCACCGTGGTCGCCGTCCTGCAGCTCGCGACCATCTACCACCCCGCTGCTTACACGGAGTCGTGGTTGCCATGGCGACGCTGGCCGCGGAACCCGCGATACTGCATCGGTTAGGGCGGCATGGGCGCCATGAGTGGGGTAGGAGGGTGAGAAGCAGTGAGAAGTGCAGGGGTGCAGGGGCGGGAGAAAAGGGGGCAGTTCAGGGACAGGTGGCATGATGGTGATGGTTCGATTACGCCAGCATACATTTTAGTACGACTCTGTTTCAAAAGCGTGTTGTATGGGTTGACTACTCCCATGAGATTTTATTTTATAAAGCGCCCATACATCCCTCAGGTGCTTTAAAGGGCATTTTACTGTTTGCAATGTAACTCTCGAACTAACAGCGCAACAAAAGCAAAAAACTTTCAACATCTCACCGATTTAATTGGTTATTTTGTAAATTTACAATAGTTTTGGTAAGATTCTGAACAGAATCTTTCCCTTAGAAATACATCAGAAGGCTAATAAAAACGATTTTTTTCATAAATCACTCATATTCACATAGGCTAAAAGATTATTTACAGCATCAACATTTTTACAACATACTTTTCTCTGTTTTCGTGATAGGTGGCATAACAAGACACGTTCAGAAGTTTATCGAAAATGATTATTAAAAAAACTGCCTGAATGCTTCGATAGTTAGGGATCGTGCAGAAAAAAAAGTCCGTTTTTGTCATTTTCATTCGGCAATTAATGGGTGCTCGGCGCCTGCGAGACTCAGGGTAGGCCACCCCGCGGTACACGTATGCACTGTGGGCAGGGTGTTGCCTACCCATCAGGCGCTAAGAGACATAGCATTGGCTGAACTTCATAGGTGCGTAACGCCGTTACCGCGATTGATGGACGTACTTTCTGGATGATCCCTTACACAAATGACACAAAATTCATACCCAGCAATCACATATTAATAAATCCTACCATACCCAGGGAAGAACAAATTAAACATTGAAGCAAAATCTAAATCTTAGTTACTACAAGAAGGAACTAAGAAGAAACAGTCTTTGAAATTTCTTCACTTTTAGACAGGTAAAAACATTTTCAATTGTGCGAAGAGTGGTCTGAGAAGTGTGTCAAGCGCTTTATATTGAGCCAAATGCCCTTCTCAGCCTTTAAGAGCATGCTGAATTTGCTGTAAGCATAAGGAATTTCTGTTTTCAAACAAGGCTCTACTCCAAAGCCTTGAAGAAAGTAAACAAGAGCCATTTTAGTGGACGTCAGTGCAAAACGGGCACCTGCAACATTTAATAATATTGTAATTTCTAAAGTAATAACAAGGACTCATTTCAGCTAAATTTGATGTAACATACCAATACAATTTCGTGGACCTGAACCAAATGGCAGGTACACATACGGTGACCGTTTGGCCTTTTCTTCAGCAGAAAACCGTGTTGGATCAAAGCGCTCTGGGTCTGGATAATACTGGGAGTCATAGTGAAGACCCATCACTGGAATAGAGACACTGGCTTCGGGCTTCAAAGTTATGTTTGTTTCGGGAATCAAGTACTCCTTAGTACATTTCCGGTCCATCCTAGCTACTGGTGGGTGTTTCCGCATCGACTCTGGTAAACGAAAGTAAATGACATAAAAGTTGCTCTGAATTGCTC